GTGTGTGTATGTGTGTGTGTGTGTGTGTGTATGTGTGTGTGTGTGTGTGTGTGTGTGTGTCTCCAGTATATGGGCTGGGGAATTCTTGGTAGAATGAAAGAGGAAAAGAGCCTGCCAACACAGGCATTGTGTCTCTGCCTTCTGGTTGCCATGATGTGAACTCCTCTGTGCCATCTTCCTTCACACCGTAAGGGACTGATGCCCCTGAGACTGTGGGCTGATACGGACCATTCTTCCATTAAGTTGCTTTGCTGGAGTGTTTTGTATCAGCAACAAAAGTTCTGATGAACACAGGAGGGTGTTTGGGAGTTTGCACCATATAATTTAGATTTATTTTTTCATGATGAAAGACAGATGTGATAAAGTTGGGAAGAATGACCCGGGAAGGGGGGAAGGGAAGGGTAGAAGGCCATTACTGGAGTTCAGACAAGGAGGGCAGGATAGCTGGGACCAGGGTGTTTGCATGGCAAAGACAAGAAGGGGGTGAGTCTGAAGATGAAATTAGCATGGGAGGTGAAATTAGGTAGACTTGGGGCCACATTCCATATGAGAAGTACAGGGGAGAGGAGGAGCAAGAGGTGGGAGGGTGGTGGGCCTGCTCCAAAGGTGGGGTGCAGGTAGAGCAAGGTCTGGAGGGGAAGGCCATCTCCTGTGCCATTGAGGTCCCGCAGGAGACGCCAAGTGGGTGACACCTTCTATTGTGTGTGCTCCATTTGGCCTGTATGTAGGCCTAGCCTTGGCTGTCCCTGGAAACCAACTGCTAAAGAATACATAAAAAGAAGTCCACGGTTTTAGTGATTTTTAAAATTTGATTGTAGTTCACTCTAGATAATAAAAGAATCTAATGACAAAGGAAATGAATCAAAAGAAATATCTTACATAATCCCTGTGTTTTCATTTTCCCCACAACATTCATTTTCAATCAATTGTCCTTGCAGTCTACATGGAAGGCATAATAGAATTGTTTACTCTTACCGGCACTCCAGATATTGCTTATATTTCTAAACAGTTCTAAATATGGCACTTCAAATATCACATCTATTCACACCAGACAGAGAAGGCAGTGACAGGGCCACAGAAAGGCTCCATCCATGTCCATCTTGGGGGATTAATGAGTTTATTGGGGTTACTCACAGGATCAGGGGTGACTTCAAGGCAGCTATACCACCAGGATGTTGCCTGGGCAACTTACAGACAGCTGCACCACTACAGAGGCCCACCTACAACATGGAGGATTCATGGAAAGTTGCTCCAATGGCGTCTCAAGGGCAGCGTACAGGCCCCCACACTATGTCTGAGTTTCTCACCAGTTTCCCTCTTATAATAACCTTTGGGATGGGAGGGACCTTGTGAGAATCTCCTTAAAGATCCTGAGGCTTCCCAACCCTCCAGAAAGGAAGGCAATGTCCAATCTCTTGAGGGTCTCACATTGATCACAGCTGTTCTGACTCAAGATGGCCATGGTCCGACCTAGAGAAAACAGCCGACCAACATTTGTATAGTTCCCCATGCATCTGATTAACCATAAGTGGTCATTTTCTAAGCACTTAGTTGCTTTTGAGATTTCATTATAACAATTAAAACTTTATGTTCTGTTATGTGTGTCTTTTTTCCCACCTACATTTTTCCTTAGGTTAAATTCTTACAAGTGGCATAGTGGGTTAAAGGAAGGCATTTCTGATTCTTGATGTGGGTAAGGGTGGCATTCTAAAATCACTGGTCAGGACTGGGGTGGGAGGACAGTGCTTCCCACACTGTAGCGCCTTGACCTACATGTATTTAATGGGATACAATGACCAGGGGACCTAACCGTGTGAGTGAGCCTTGACAAGGTCATCTAGATCTTTCCACCATGGCTCTGATGATTGTGTCCAGTGGTGGCCAAGGGCCACAGGAAGGACACTGAGCCTGCCAGCTGGTTGTCTGGACCCTGGTCTGGCTCCTTCCCTTCTCTCTGATTTCTGTTACTTGCAAACCAGTGGAAGCTCCTGAACTGAACTGATAGAATTGCGTGAAATACATGGAGCCTCACACGCTCATGGGGTCTACAGCACCTGGGCAATGCTGCAGAGACTGCTGAGGGTCCTGAGGTCTGGATAGGGGCTCAGGGTCTCCCGTGACATGGTCCCTGTCTTACTTAATCCTTAGTGTGATACTTCACCTGGACCAGACGGTTCTGTGGCTCAGGGAGATTCTCCAGCCCTAACCTAAGTTGTATCCCAGCTGCCTTTGCCAGAGTACAGTAGACTCAGCTTGACCTTTAAATCACAGGGATGCTATGTGGTGTGGTGCTGAAGGGCCTTAGCTGTTCCTGTCACGTGTTTTCTACATACTCATATTCTAACATCGCCAAGGATAGTGTTGCATATTCTTAGATGCAGCGTACTTCAGACTTCTCTGTTTGGAGGAGGGTCATGCAAACAAGTCTATGCTGGAAACTCTGATGTGGCCACTTGTCACATCTCTGCTAGCCCTTGATTTGCACTGGTGGTAGTGACCTCAGGGCTGAAGGGCTGTTGAGAAATGTGGGAATATCCTTGTATTCCTTGAGGTAGATGTCTTTGGCCCTGGGATAGTGCTTGAACTGCAGTGATCTGGCACTTTCCACGCTCTCTTTCTGGCATTCCTATGTCAATGTGCTGATTTTGGGGAGATGTCAGGCGAGGCACCCTCTAATCCAGTAGGGACTTCTGGGCTTCCCTTGTTCTCTGCAGAGGAACCCTCTGACCACAGGTCGGCACTTTTCACTTGTCCAGGCCTATAAGAACTTGGACCTGATACCTTCATTTACAAAACAACATGTTTGAGGGGATGTTGTCTAAGTTGTCCTAAAATCTCAATTATACTAAGGTAGCAGCTAGGGAGATGATCAGTCAGTAAATGGCTTGTTACACAGGCATGAGGACCTGAGTTCAACCCCCAGGGCTCATGTAAAAAGCTGGATGTAGCTTGTAATCTGGGTGCTGGGGAGGCAGAAACAGGCAGATCTTGAGTTCCTTGACCAGCCAGCTTAGCTAAATTGGCAAGCTCTAGGCCAATGAGAGACCTTGTCTCAAAAAACCCAGGTAGACAGGACCTGAGGAATGACACCTGAGGATGACATCTGGCCTCCACATGCATACATGTGAGTGTATGCTTGCTTATGCACACACGTGCGCGTGCACACACACACACACGTATGCATGCTCGCATGTACGATAATGACAAATACAAATTGTAATAAACCAGGTCATGGCAGCTCTCTTAAGACTGTAAGCATTGGTGTTTTCCTAGCTCCAAAGGAGAAATAGGCTCACTGACACATTTAATGACACGTGTTCGAATGCGTGTCGAACTTTACACTTAGACTCACTTTTTTTCCTTTCTTTTTCCAGCCAAACACCATGTCAATGGCAACAGGATGGTTGAACCTTTCCCAGAGGGAGCACAGATGGCTGTGTTTGGTAAGATATCAACTCGGAAAGAAAACCCAAATTCTGTGCGAAGCTCCTGCCAACTTTCCTAGCTGAAGCAAGTGTTCTTGAGGCTTCAAAATCTGGGCTCTTCTAGCTATTTACAAGTCGTTACAGCCAAGAAAACTCTTGAATTCTTAGTAATTTTGGGGACTGGCAACACTTATTTTGTAGACTTGAGAGTACTTTCTTTCCTTACTTTGACAGCTCAGATACCACACTGTGCCTTCGCTATTTCTTTTGTCCACACTGTGAATTAACCTAATTAATTTAGGGTGTGTGTTTTTCTTTTCTTTTCCCCACATGGATATATTACTTTGTCAAGTTCTTTGGACTTGTTATTCCATATACCCTCCCCCACCGCAAATTGAATGGTTTCTTTCTTCTCCATAAATTGACCACATTCCTTAGGAAACATTAATTAAAAATTTCAAGCAGGGAATCACCAATCCTTGGTTGTACTACAAATTACGACTGTGAGGTTGAGTGGAACTTTTTGGTTAAACACCAGACCATTTGGTGAAGAAGTCCTGGATCCACATTTCCCATCTCCCAGCTGATGTCACCATGAAAATGTTTTGTATCTGGCACAGTCTTGCCTGCCCCCCAACTGACATCAGCTTCCATTCTGCCCTGCTTGCCTCCCCTCCTGGCCCTTTCTTCCCATCAATGCCCTGAGATCCTCCCAGGCCACCTCTGACCTCTAGAATTCCAGCCGGAAGGACAACTGTCTTCCTGGATCACTCCCACTCTAGAAGCTTCCAAGCCCCTGACTTAATACTTCGTTTATCCTCTCTGGTCTTTTTAGTAGTCTCCCTCAAGGACATAAACCTGCAGAAGCACCAAATTCTATTTGGCCTGGAAATTGGCCTCATATCCACTCAGTCCCTGAGTAGACACTCAGAATAGAATGCTTTCTGATCCTAGAGAGAGGACCAGAGCTAGAAACACTGAGGATGGACTGCTGGGGAATTATGAAGCAAAGACTTAGTGGGCAGGCTTGCTCTGATGGGCCCATCTGTGGTTAGGCATCGCTCACTATGTTTAGAAATGTAAATGGACAATTTGATTTCAGAGGAGGCGTAATGCAAAAATGAACTTTCAGTTTTAGAGTCTAAAATGTTTACAGGAATACCTGCTCCATCCATAATTACCTGTTACCACAGGACAGCAAATGTCACACCTGTCAGTGTGCAAAGCAGCCTTTTAATGATGATGTTTTAAAACTTTCTCAGATTTGACAACCATGACTCGTTAGAAACTGCATTCTGTATTGTTATACTTTGTGTCTGAAATGTCCCAGAAGCTCATGTTCCCCCCAGCTGGTGGCACTATGCGGTGGGGGGGGTGTAGGAGGTGTGGTCTAGTGGAAGGAAGTTAGGTCTCTGGGAGTATGCCTTTGAAGGGGCTGTTGGGATCTCAGCCCCTCACCTTCCCCCACCTCTCCTCACTGGCCTCCATGGTGTTATCAGCTTTGTTCTATCCTGTACCTATCCCAAGCCTTGACACTCTACCTCGCCCAGATGACTGAGCCACCATGGACCAGGACCTCTGAAACCGTGAACCAAAAAACCTTTCCCTGAAGTGCTTTTGTCACAGTGATGACTAACACACATCAAGCCTGTCCCATCAACTTTCCATCTCTTAACATTGTGGGTGGGAACGTCCATCCTGGTCTGTACACTCAGCACCAAATGGCTTGATGACAGTCTTTGACCTAGAAATTGGAAATATCAGGGAACAAAACTCTGTGTCATGATGCTTTTTCTTTGAGGTTCTTTTGGTTTGCAAAGGGTTACTAAAACCTAACTGAAGACCTTCACAGTTAGACATAGGGCAAGTCACTTCCCTCTCCTGGCCTCAGATTGCTAAGAGAATACTGGAGCCTGTGTAGGTCTGGGCCCTATTCCAGACTGCAGGCTCAAGTGTCACAGAGAGCCCTGGGAAGCCCACTGTGGACAGTCCAATTTAGTTTGAAAACAGATGTTTCAGAGCCAGACATGGTGGCCCATGCCTAGAATCCCAGCATGTGGGAGGCAGGAGGATGGCTGCAATTTCAGGGCCTTATTTATAAACCAATAAACAACCAAAAGAAAGAGACGGCCCTCATGCAAAATTGTTCAAATTCAGTGTCTAAAGGGAAGACTCACAAGGAATGTAGAAAAGAATACCCTTGACTTGGATGGATTCTTTCTTTAGAAGTGCAGCTTGGCACTTTGAGATGCTTAAGTGAAGTTCCAAATTTGGTTAAATACACGCAGCTGTTTCATACTGAAGTTTCCAGAACTCTTCTCCTTCTGTCACTTGTCCACCTCGCCTGTGGTGGGGTGAGGGAACGGTTGGCCTGGAGAGGGCTTCTGTCATCCTGGGTTGTTTATAGCTACACTGAACAAGGTCAGACTGAGGCAGAGTTTGACCCTCAAATACCATGTGTGTCCTGCCAATGCTCCTGTACCTGGTAGGATCAGCAGTCTCCTTCTCAGAGAGGTCATGTGACTTGCCCAGAGTCACTTGACCATCAGAGCTAGGGTTTGAGCCCCAGTCCATTTAGCTCAGAATTCACATACTCCCCTTCTGTCACATCCCCTTTCTCTGCAGTGCTCGGAGCCCTGGGTAGGGTCTGATAGATTCAGAAATGCTTTTCAGCTGGATCCACACACAAAAGTGTGATTTCCAGCCAAGCCAATTTAGCAAATTGATTTGTAAACTCACGTGCATTCCCAGAGTGCTCTGAAGGACTCTTGAGATGCAGCTTTTGCTGGGAAAATGCTGCTTGGAGTGAAGTCTTCTATGATTACCTCTCCCTCCCCCTTTGGATTTTAGTAGCAGACACCAGTGCTGAGGAGCACGCATTGCATCTGCCTGCCTGTCTGTTACCCAGAGCAGCAGCAATACTTTTCACCTGTCCAAACTCCTTCTTCAGCCAAGGAGGTCTTAATACGGTATGCCAAAATAGTGTCACCAACTGCGACTTCATCACCTAGTGGTGAACGATTTGAACGTGCCTTTCCGAATGCTGTGTACATGGGAACTTTATGATTTAATCAACCCTGCTGGTGACCACTGTGCTGCTGTTAGGCTTTTCAATTGGCACAGGGGATCAAGGCCCATTCCAGAGTAACACACACACCCATGTGCTAGTAGACCCAGTGAGGAGATCATATATAAAAGGATATATAGTTGGCTCCTTAGATGCTGTTTCTGGCATACAGTCTTTGCAGATTATTTTTAACTCAAGACATTCTTTTTTTTTTAACTGCCTTTTGTAGTCAGTCTCTGAATTTTTTTGTTTTTTGCCACCCAAGCTTTTCCCTCCATTACACTCAGACAATGCTAATGAAGGCGGCCACGGGCTCTGGGCCCCAGGTGGGCTCCTCCAGCCTGCCTCTGATGCCCCCTTTCAAGTCAGTGGGAGCTCATGTGCTGCAAAAGTGGAGCTGAACATTTTGCAATTACTGTCTTTGTGTGCAGTGGCTGAGAGCACAGTGTGGATAGCCTCCCTTTAATCCTCACAATGCTCCTGTTAAGTGGGCATTTTCTTCTTTTATAGGCAGGGAAACTGAGGCAGCCAGAGATGAAAGACAAATGATCAAGTCGAGGGAGTGCTTTCTCTGGCATGAGAACAGCTTTGGCCACCATGCTGTGCCTGTCTGGGGAAGGTTTCCTGAGATCCCAATATCTTAATGAAAGTGACAACTGTTGGCTGAAGGCCACACCGTCCAGCAGAGTGCCAGGCTGCAGCCCACGAGGGGTGCGTCAGCCACAAGAGCCACTCCTTCTATGACAACTGCCCCACAGGCAAGAGGATTGATAGTTTCAAAATAAAATTAAAGCTTATTAATTGAGAAAAGCAGAACAAGATAGAAGGGCGGGGAGTCCAGTCACAGGCTGGAACTGAAAAATAAGCTGTTTAAAAGTTTAGGGACTGGAGAGAGGGCTCAGCAGTCGGGAGCAGTTACTGCACTTGTAGAGGACTGGAGTTTGGTTCCCAGCACCCATGCTGGGCAGCTTACAACTACCTGTAACTCCAGCTTCAGGGAATCCGACCCTCTTCTGGCCTTCACAGGCACCCATACTCACATGGACGTATGCTCACTCACACACATACTATTAAAAATAAATAAATAAATCTTTAAAACTTCAGAGTATAATCCTTAAACATTGTCCTAGTAACTTTTAATTGCTGTGATAAAACAGTGAGCAAAACCAACTTGGGGAGGAAAGGGTTTATTGTATCTCACTCTTCCACGTCACAGCCCATCACTCCGGAAAGCCAAGGCTGGAACCTGGAGGCAGGAGCTGAAGCCCAGACCATGGAGGAACGCTGCTTACTGGCTTGCTCCTCTGGCCTGTGCTCAAACTGCTTTCTTATACAACACAGGACCACCTGCCCAGGGGTGGCTCTACCCATGCCCACATTGGGTTGGGCCCTCCCACATCACTCACAATCAAGAAACTCCTTCACAGACGTGGCCACAGGCCAGTCTGATAGGAAACAGTTCCACAGCTGAGATTTCCTCATCCCAGGCATGTCAGGGTGACAACTGAAGCTATCCACTACAAACATCAGTTTGTCACTCAAACTAGCATACTCCCGAAAATGCAAAGCTTGCTTTTGAAAATGATATTGAAGTAGGGCATGGGAGTACATTCCTGTAATCACAGCATGTGGGGGCATGAAACAGGAGGATCACAAGTTCCATGCCAGCCTGGGCTGGAGAGAGAGAGAGAGAAAGACCCCATCTCAATACATTTTTTTTTCCAAAAAGAACTAAAAATTATGTCAAGATAAGATACAAAGATGTGGGTTTCAGGCAACTAGAATATAATGTTACTTTTCAATACATGCTGAACAAAGTAGATGTTGAAAAATAATAAACTAGGGCTTATAAAACGAGGTAAAGGAGGGAACACTGCAATGCAGTGGAGATTATTCATAATGTAGAGTCAGCACTCCGCTAAATTGGAGACTCAGTACACATCACTCCTTC